CTATGTCCATTTTTTGTTGTTAAAATTAAGAAGAAATATACTTTTTTGATAGGCCAACTTTTGATCACAGTAATATCCTGTACTAACCATTTCCTGAAAAAGTCTTCAAAAATAAAAGTTCCTCAAAAAAATGACTAAAAATGCATTCATTTGTCTTAAAATACTTAGCTATATCCATTATTCGTGGTTAAAACACCCACCCACACCCACAATCACAACCACAACATCATAACCATAATATCTTGTGCAATTACCTTATGGTAAAAGCCATTTAATCTGCTGTACAGCTACCCTAAAGGTGAGAGAGAGGACACTAAAATCAAGGAAAAGCAAGTTAGATCGTCAAGTTTGTTATCAATCAACTCATTTGGTGCATATTTGTCAACTCCCCTATAATAAACTCCCCTGGTTTTTGGAGATTTGGATGGAGATTTTATTTAATATGTTTTACTCAAATTGAAGTTTTTCATATTATTCAGTACATTAACTTCACTTCACTGGTATTATAATTTCCTGTAAAAAAAAAAATCTAAAAACAATTTAGCACTTTTTTGGGCCATGGCTTTGTCTATTAAGTTCCTGATCTGGTAGTTTAAAATACAGCAGTGGGTTGGCAATAACAGGGTGTTGGTTTGTGGCCTACGAACTGAAACAAAGCTCTCTAATTGCTCAATCCCCACCTTGCCGGTTTTAAGATCGCTAGAGGTAAATAGAGTACAAGGAGAGAATAAATTAAGGCCTGTAATAAAACGCAAGCCTAGTTTGAAAGTCAATTCCCTCTGTAATTATGCAAAATCCATTTCCATTCACTGCATATTCTCACACTCTTCCTGACAGAGCACCGAGTCATACAGGTCAGACTGATTTATGCTACTGTATATAATGTATTGTGCGTTATTTAAGCATCGTTCCCCTGGCTCCTTGTTTAGATCTGCCTCAAACATCTGACAAGGTCCAGAACCTAGGCAATTATTTTTAAAATGTCAGGGAAGCTCCTGCTGCTCTTTGGTCCTTTAATTGATCATTTAAAAATCGAGGTGTTCATGCTGCACAGCCTGACAAAAAGAGTCAAAACACACAGGTATAGCCTACAATATAGAAACTGTGTTCACCAACAATCTGCTGAGAGAATCAAAGATCCAAAGATGTCGATACCCAATATCTTTTTCTGCAGTGATGGTACAAAGCCAGTGAAATGGCATTTTGGCATTTGAAAGTGAAGGGTGTGAGGTTACAAATGAGTCCATCATCCGCAACCCCTTCTCTCACAAACTATTTTCTTTGCAATTTAAAGTCTCTGATGTGACATTTCCACCAAGTAGAAAAACAGCAGCAGAAATGAGCATCGACGCACAACGAGACAGCTGACTGACTCATAAAAACTTTTGGCATCACAGCAAGAAAAAACAACGCTGATGAAAACATTTTCATTGTTGCTGCTGTCATAACACAAACAACGCCACAGTCAAAACAACCAGTGCAGCTTTTTAAAAAAACAGCCTAGAGAAAATGATGTGGTCTACACGGAGACTGCTAAAGTTATATAAAGATATAATTTAAGAGCATTAGAACCTTTGAGAGGATCAGACAAGATAAAAGATAGATGCAAAGATAAAAAAAACAGATGTCAAGAGACTGCAGTACGTTACCAGAGAACAAAAATGGCAGAGATTCAAAAGAAGCAGAGAACAGTTGGGCTTGAGAGGCACAGATGTTCAAAACTGATGAGATTTATATCACAGGGAGATCCATGTATCATTTTAACATCACATTTAGTGCAAATTCTCAAAGGCCCACAAAGTTTGCATGAACAATCCAGCTATCATTTTGACAGACATTAGTCTCTTGGTCAACAATATCTGGCTACATTAACGTTGTTCATTTTCTTTCTGTTAACCCAGATAGTTTTTCGTTGCATTTAATTTTTTTACTTCTTTTCAAATGTAGCAAAGTAAAATACTTGAGTCAAAATAAAAGAAAATTGTCAAAATGTAAAAAGTAAAATTACCTATTGCCGAAAGTTCTTAAAAATTACAAATTCTCACAAACACCACTCAATTGCAACTTTAGCAAATGTCATTTGTTAATTTCCACCTCTGGAATTTAGACAAGAGTGCAAATGGTTTTATTTAACTCGATCATCTAAGAAATACTATAATGTAAAAGTTGCAAAAGACGGAGCTGAACTACATGTGTGGTTCTGGGACACTGCAGTATTATGTACTGCAGTATTGGAGCTGGACATTGAAGAATGACCTGAATAATCACAGAGTTTGTGCAGCACTTGTTGCTGCATCAGCAAAGTTGCTGCAGTGAAAACACAGTTTCTGAAACACAGTTTGTGTCACCAGGTTATGGGCTCATGGGTGTCTGTGTCTGTGTGTCTGTGTGTCTGTGTGTGTGTGTGTGTGTGTGTGTGTGTGTGTACATCATAAACAAAAAAATGTTTGAGGATGAAACAAAGCCAAACTTAAAAACTCTGTCACTTCGTCTAACCAGGCTTTAGTTAATAATTGTCTTTATACATTAGGAAACATTAAACACAGTATGATAAAGCTGCACATTTAAAGTAAAAATAATGTCAATATTTAATTAATATGGTGCACTATTATATTTGCAGTTATTTATAATAACATCTTAAACCTATAAAATCAGCGGTTGGTTGATATTTGTGCAAACGCTGCTTTCTGTGGGAACGGCACAGATAATAACTCCCACTGAAATCAAACTCTAAACATGTTCTCAAGCCGGCCTTTGTTCAGGTTATAGGTTTTTGCAGCTAAAAGCTTTTATAATCGTTACATAAGCTCTGTATAACACTTGAGTCTGCCATTACCAGATGAAGAGATCACTTCAGCAAAGAAAAAAAAAACAGTTGTGCAACCGGTGCTCACAGTCTGCGGCGATTTACTGCCATCTACCGTTTATTGTGAGTACTGCAAAAACTACCTTTGTTGATTGTTATTTCATGCTTTAGCATAGATTTATGGGTCCCGGTTTGTGCACCAATTGTGGGTCGTGAGGGCAATTTGGACCTGAAAAATAATTAAATATCAATTGTACCTTTTTCTTAAATTACTTAATCACAAGATTTTAATTTTAACCTTAAGGTAATAAAAATACTACACTTTTGAAAGCAAACAATAAAAATTTATTAAAAGATGAAGCTGTTGAAATTGACATGGTATGACGCTAGTAATGAGGTTTTCACACATGTCTAACACAGTCATAGTTCACTATTCAGTTTAGCAAAATTTCATATATACAAAGAAAACAGCTGCGATGTGGCTCAGCATATCCACCGGACTATGACACTGGTCTTTCCACAACGATGGCACCATCAATTGGTTTACTACATTAAATTTGATTGAGCATCTAATTCTCAGTCTTCAAAATCAGAAAAAGCAAACATTGTAGGCACATGCTAACAAATGTCATGTACAAATCATAACTGTTTTTTAATTGTTTGTTTTTTAAAATTATAATCTGCAATAATCCCTCCCTCATGAATTCTCTAAAGAAATGTCCCTCTCATTGTAGAAAAGATGCTTCAAAATGCTCAGGGAAGATGTGGATGAAATCAGCAGAACTGGAATTTAAAAAATAAGTAAAAAAAAAAAAGAAAAGATGAAGCGAAGTATTTACATTTTTGTCGCTCAGGCTGTGTGAAGAATTTACCTTCCAGCGGTATCCACACTCATTACACAAGACAAATGTGGTCATCGGCTCATCAGCGCTGCGTGTCTGCATCTGGACATACAAACACAAGTTTGTGCATTTAAAAAAATATATATTATATTTTATATATTATAAAAGAACTAAGAATATATATCTGGTTCAGTTCAGGGTTAAGGTGAAACGAAACAAATACACCATAAGCTTTTTAAAAGGAAAATGTTGGAAAAAGTTGCGCTTTAACGTATATTGTTATATGAGTGCGTTTACAGTACCTGGTTGTAGGTGCAGTTCTTCTTCCTGCATTTTTCACACTGCAGCAGGTCAGTGGTGGTGCCTCCAGTTTTGGCCATCTGATGCTCCCTGATGGCCTCCTGGGTGAGAACGCTCCTCAGCTGTTTCAGCTCATCACTGGCCATCTCCTACAATATGGTAACATGTCAAGCAGCAGGAAGGATAAGTTACACGACATAAAGACAAATCTTAGCGTTTCTGATGGCCAAGCGTTCTACCTCAGCAGACATGGAGGCGATGCGGCTCAGCTCGATGTTCCCGGCCAGTACGTTTTTGCGTAGCCCTGGGTTTTTAGGATCCTTCAAATTGCTGATGCGACTGCGGACTCTGTTCTTGTACTTTATATCAGCGGCCTTAATATCCTGGTAAATATGTGGCATTCATGCAGTCAAGGAGACTTTTTTAGTCTTTTGTTGCATCAACTAACAACCATTTAAATCCATTCAGAACTGGTCTTGGCCCTGGATGTTCTGAAGCAAACAGCACTAGGTTTGATTCTAAAATTAAGGTACATGTACAATAAGGACCCCCTCTAGTGGAACACTGGGATACACCAGTCATTGAAAATAAAAATAAAAATTTCCATCTTGAACTTCAGTAACATTCTTCATACTGGTTCATACAATATACAGACACGAACACAGAACACATGGCTGTGGACTGTCAGCATCAGTCATCACTGAATGAACTGCAGATCAAATCAAACCAACTGAAGGAGAAGGAACACTGAAGTGAATCAAAGGATATGATCTTCAATTTCTGCTGCCATGCTGTCGCAGTTTGTTCCAAACTCTTTGTAGTCATCTGCGAAATAGGAAACAAAACATACGAGTCACCTAAATCTGAGCCAGATCGTAGAACATGTAAGAATTTGTTGGTGCATGTTGTGTGTGTGTGTGTGTGTGTGTGAGAGAGATTGTGTCAGAACAGCAGCACTATTTTTATTTAACTGTCAGTGAGGAAGCCTAACAACGTCCTCACCATTTGTGCGCAAGGCAGCTGCCAGCAACTCGATGCACTTGTCTCTGATGGAGTCTCCAGTGGACAGCTGTGGAGACAGTGGACCACTAGATGAACTGAAGCTGGGGGACATGGGGCTGGTGGGAGTGGTGGGAGTTTTGGGGGCATCGACTTTTCCCTTTCTGCAGAAAGAATGTCATTTTAAATGTGACGTCTCTGCTCTGCTCTAATTTCCATTGATATGACTCGGTGTTCTTCTGTGACACTCAGTTAACATGAATAAAAAATCATTTCTGTGCTCATTAGCATCAGCATTAATTAAAATGAAAATACCTGTCAGTGCTGTCAGTTGAAGGCTTCCTCTGTGCAGGTCCAGGCTGAGAGGCTGTTGAGCCGTGGGACTCTCTCCTTCATATCATAAGGTCAAACGTATTACCTTTACTATTAATAAATGCATTAACTAATGCCATAAAAGGAAATACGTTTTGTAAAGTTGAAGCATCGTACCTGTCAGCTGATAGCTTCTTAGCTGGTAGTGAGGAGCTTTTCTTTGTTTCAGTAGATTCTCGTCTACAACAAAACTTTGTCACTCAGATTTGATTTAGTCAGCAGGCCTAATAAAGCTTGATTGTTTATTTGTTACCCATGAGTCCTACCTGTCAGGTTTGGAGTCAGATGACAGACGTTTCACAGGTTGACCACACTTTGAGTCCGATGAGTCTTTTCTACAGGGTCAGAGACAGAGTTGAGATGACACTGACTTCCATCGTCAAAGTCAAAATATTTTTTAATTATTATTCTTGGGTATTTGTATCTTTATACACCTCAAAAAGTTTAAATCAGAGTAAAAAAAATGTAAAGTGGTGAATCTTGGCAATACATTGTTTAAGTGGGTATATATAATAGTAAAATATAAAATAGTATATATATACTATATAATGTATGGACTCGACTTGAAAGGTGATTCAAACCTTTGTTTTTCTTTTTTGACATCCAGGCTGGGTTTTCTGGGAGGAGGTGATTTAGAACCAGAGGAATCCTTCCTGTTCAAAAGTAGACACAGTAAAAAGTTATGATGATGATTACAGTACAAGTTCCAAACTACACTGGTTTCTTTAACACCAACCTTTCTCTCTTGGTTTCATCTGTGGTTTTATTGGAGACTTTGCTGTCTGATGAGTCTTTTCTGCCAAAAAATGGAAAAAAAAGTAATTATATTAATTTAGAAACCATTAGTTTTTATATTCCACAGATCAGTCAGAAAACTTAACAGCAGCAAAACCACAGAGACATTAAAATCCAGTTTCAGAGAACGGCAACACATCAGTTGTACAACTCTGATTTAGTCTTGTATCAATAAAATGGAGAAAAGTCTGAGTTCTTGAGCAACAATAAACCATGTTTTTACAGATAACAATGCACATAGACTGTATATAAAAAATATCATCTGTAGGCACTGCAGCCTTCTGTTTATGGATCCTCTGTGATAACTTTGAGACCTTCTCCCGTAATGAAGGCAACATTAAAAACAAAAGACAGAAGATAAGCCACAGCTGCTGACAGTGTTCTATTGACAGCCAGACAGAAGGAGTTCTGTTTTGGTGACAACACGTAGTGGTTACAAATGTTGTCACTCACCCCCGCGCTCCTGCTTTATTTTTTTATTTACCCTGATGATGATTTAAAAAGTGAATGAAACTAAAGGAAACTCGAGATTAAGACCCAGAGATTCTTCTGCTCCTTTTTCCACAGTCTTTTCTTCCAGCACTTTCCTGTGCAGATACAGTATTTCTCTGTAACAAAGCACGGTCAGATAGTTCCCAGATGTCAGACCTGTCTTTCTTTACATGATCTGATGTCTGTTTCTTCTGCAGTGACGCTTTCAGGTCTGACAACTCTTTCCTGCAGAGCCAAAGACAGGGATACAACGCAGAGCAGGAGTAACATGAACGAACTGACAAAAACAATTCAAACACACATCTCAAGCCACCAATCGAGGACATGCAGCACTCGTCTCAATCAGACCTTTCTCGCTCCTTTTTCCCCTCCAGAGAGAGACGTTTTTGAGGAGGTGGTGGTGGGTGAAGGTGAAGGGGAAGCGGAGGTAGCGGAGCGTTGGGGTCAGGAGGCTCCTTTCTAAAATGAGAGAGGTGTTTTGAACTGGGCTGCATCACATCACAGTGTGGGAGGAAATAATAGGCTGAAAATGTCAGTGCGTCAAGAGAGGACATGCAGAGGCTGACCTCGGTGGAGGAGGATGAAGGTGAAGAGGTAATGGAGCTATGGGTGCGTTTGGGTCTGGTGGAACTTTCCTGATGTGACAATCAACAATTGTTTGAGAATAATCACTGAAATGTCAGGGTCTTCTTCTACTACTGCTCGTTTGTCAAATCACACACATGCTGCAGAGCATGCCTGACCTCTCTTTCTTCACTTCAAGCGTAGATTGCTGCTTAGCTGGGGGAGAGATGGGTGGAGGCGCCTTGGGAGGAGGATGTCGGGAGGACGAGTCTTTACTGTCCTTCCTGGACAAAAGTCATACATTTGTAGCTGTTTATTAGCAACACAGGATCTGAAGTCCGGAGAACTCATGGATTTCAACACATATCTCTGTTGTTAGAAGTTTGCGAGTACATCAACATACATATTGTTAAAAAAAGGATGCGATCTAACGCCACCAGAGTGCACTGTTGGTTAGGGTCACACTCCAGAGTTGTAATTTATGTCTAAATATACCCATATTATTATCAAGTGCAACGTGACATGCACAGCACACCATCGTGTAGGATGACGATGTGATTAAACTAGTTGGACAATATGTTGGGACACAAAACTGTTCAATAAACTCACGCTTTTCATTTCAGTGACTCGTTACAGCATGCACCACCCACAACCCAAAGTCTGGTTAAAACGAGCATGAAGAAATACCAGAGCAGGTGAGAAACTCCAGGATTTCATGCAGAGTTAGCATTGATGCACAGGTCTCAGCAACTCAGTGGATGCTCGAGTCCTGACCTTTCCTTCCTGGTGTCCAAAGAGGGACGTTTAACGGGCAGAGGAGGCCTAGCTGGTCGGGGAGGAGAAGGGAACCGTGTAGGATACAGAACGCTGCTGTCCAACACTCCCTTTCTGAAATGAATAATTGAGTCTGAAGTGCCACTCGGTGTTTTGTCATGTGGACCAACCAGTGCTGTACGACCTCGTGCTCACCTTTCAAATAAAGGCCTGTGAGCATCGGCAGGTTTCTCTCTCTGGGGGTCTCTTGACAGTCTGTCATGCTGCGATGCGTTCATGGGCCTCTCATGTCTGCCGTCCTCTCTTGGCTTGTCCTTTCTCGTGTCATCAACATAGCTGTGCTTCCTGGGCTCCTCAGGCTGCTTTCGCCTTTTGAGTTCTTCCACATGTCTCGTCTTTTTTGGTTCTTCATACAGACTTTCTTTCCTTGTTTCTGGTTTGTATCTTTCACTCTGAAGGTCTGGTACATGCTTCTGTTTCTTGTTTTCTGCCGCCAACGGGTGCTCCTCTACAGTTTTTGGTTTCTTGGACTCATCTGAATTCTTCTCTTTGCTGAGTTCTTGTGGCTGTTTTTCACTGTCAGATTCCTTGAGGTGATCCTCGTCCCTAGGGTCATCCACATGTCTCTTTCTGGTCTTGTGCTCATCGTTAGGTTTTTCTTTTATGTTTTTATTCAACTGTTTTGTGTCAGGACTTGCTTCATGTTTCAGTTTGACATCCAGTTTCCTGTGACTAACAGAAACAAGGGAAGCATTTTTTTACTCTCCTCCAGGGCCACCACACTTTCACTCACATGAGGTTTGTGTAGTAATGCAAATAAGAATAAAAGAGATAAGTGTAGTTAATCAAACACACATGTTTATAGAGCAAGGGTTCCCAATCACCGGGGCGTGGACGAGTACCCGTGAGTCTTTTGGCTGAAATGGCCAAAATGTGTTACATTAAGAAATGCTTTTTAGAGCTTTGTTATAATTTCACTTTCCTTCCTGACATATGGTTGACCACACATATATATATATATATACACACATATACATACACATATATATATATATATATACATATATATATAATATATATGTGTGGTACCCCATATGATCATTATCTATGGAACCCAGGGATAACAACAATACAGTTTCCACCCTTCAGCTCTCTTTCCACTCATACAAGGATTACATTTCAATACCAGCTGGATTTAAACAAGGGTTTGGTCATATGATGAATTATGGATTTCAATATTGGCTTGTCTAGTGTTTGGATAACTCCATGGTTGTTTGTTCAGGTTTTAATGCAGCATCTGTAAAAATACTGACCTACTCTGGGTGTCTCTCGGTGAGTGGGTTGGAGACCCTGCACCTTTACTGGAGTCCAGTCCGTTCTTCATCTCAGCCGGTTTCTCAGAGTGAGAGTGGCCGGAGTCTGCGTGAGTACTTGCGAAAGTGAACCACGTGAATAAATCATCCGGGATGGTGACGTCATATTGCACAAACAACTCTCTACCTGCTCAATGAATCATATATGTACCGTGCGTAAATCATCTGTAATGTCACAAAGTCAAGTGTACCCAGGAGTCTTTTCCAGTCTTTGATGAGAATCTTGGCCAGGGCAATGACCTCCTCATCTGTGCAGTGCTTTCTGATCGCGTTCACAGACATGCCAATCCTCGTCTCCTGCAATGGTAACAAAAACAAAAAACAAAACAAAAAAACTTGCAAGGTCAGCATTTATTTAATTTGTTTCTGCAGCTTTCAGTTACACAGACCTTTGACCCTTACCTGAAGAAGTTTGAGTGTCATATTGAAACTCTTCAGTTCCTTCAGCAGGTCCATGGCGCCCTCCTGCACAGACAAAGTTAATACAGTATAGTGTCAAGTTCAAGGTCACACCTCAAGACTTTACCCGGGTGTATCTGTTTGGTCCAGTGTAATATGAAACACTACTGTACTGGTACAATACTCAGACAATTTGATTTTTGACACATCAGATACCAGTGTTGATATCGGACCAGATACTTCATATGTCATTTTATCCTGAGTTTTATTTATATATTGACTAACAGAGAACTGGTAATTGGTGACCATAGGTTGCAATCGAACCAGGGGAACCACCAGGAAGAACATGTTGTTGTGCCATCCTGGGAAAAACAATGGCCACATCTGGTCGTCCATGAAAATGCCTCCATGGTTGAACAGACAGAGGACAGCGGTGGAAACAACGCTCCAATAATGAATCCAGTCGAAACACAAACGTCTCTGACGCGTCACGTGTCGTTTACATTAGCTTGTTTCCTTCCCCGTTAGCTGCTGTCCCACTGATCGACATGTAAACGATATTCGAGGGGAACAGCAGAAAATGTCGTCGCTTAAGGCGCTGCACACGCGAAGATCTAACCGTTGCCACAAACAGCAGCGTGAGCGCCAAACACCTGTCGGTCGTTTGTTACAGCACAGTCAGCCTCGCCATTTGCATTTGTGCGGATTGTTTTCCGAAAAGTGCACAGAGTCAGTTCATATCAAGCTCAGTCAAACAAACGGGAGCAGGCGCTGACAGGCCCGGAGGACATGGCAGCACCTGCGGTTGTCATAATACTCTCTCACCGTGTTATTTCTAGACACCATCCTGTCCAGTTTCTTTGCAATCCGGATTAGATCGTCCTCTCGCGTCATTGCTGCATTTAAAGAGCATTTATGGAGGCCAAATTACTTTTAAGAAACTTTGAAATACGAAGGGGAAAAAATGGATCCGCTGCAACTCGAACTTTACGCACGGCGTGCTCCATTCAGCCCAGAGGCGTGTCCTGCTGCCATCCCAGCTGACCCGGGCCACACATGACAACAACTAAATATAGGCACGGTAGTAGACACATGGGTCTATAAGTCATCTTTAAGGGTCGGGGGAGAGCAATATATCACATCCAATAGACCTGTAAAGTGGACAAAATAGAGGTTTTTAAACATGTGTCCTTTGGGTGTTTCTGCATAATATTACCGTGAGTGTGTGCGCGCGCGTGTGCTCGTGTGTGAGTTCTACCTTTACACGGGGTCACAGTCTGATGGTTATTTATAAATATAAACAGTCTCTATGTTTATTCCAACTGTCCAGCAGCTGCTGCGCCACAGAGAAACCTGACACTGAAAATCTCTGCTCCACTCTTTAAATAATCGTTTTTATTTTTTACCTATTTTTTACCTCAATGTCGGAGAACTTTTATCTGCGGAGTTAATGTTCACTTTTGGTCGACTTTTCCTGTTATCGCGTACAGTTAATGTGTAACTATTCTCTTGTATAAATGCAGGTCCACCGTTGGAGGGCGCTGTAACGCAATATGACAATTCAAGACATATTTCACCTTGATATATTTCTCCGAGTTGCGACTCACGAGAATTATTATGAATAAAATAAAAAATAAAACAAACTTCGGGAAAGAACTGAAGTCTTGATCAGAATCCAAAGTAGATTCATACAGTTCACTGGAAATAGTACAAGTTCTTACTTTTTTGCCAAGAAAGATGATTATATATATTGGTTATAATGAATCTTACTCTGAATGACCTTTTTAAAGATTAAAAGAAACAGTTCAAAGCTGTTCAAACGTATTTTATAAGAAAATGTTTTTCTAATAGAAATAAATCTCCTAGTTAAAGTCAAACTAGATGCCCTACATTATAATAACCCTATTTATTATGGCCTCAGCCTCTAATTGCACAGCTCAGCTATTCTCAGTCTTCCTCTGTGGTATTTATTGAGTTAACTGAGGTTTGTTGAACTAACATTCAGAGGATGAGCTTACTTGAAATTCCTCTAGCAACTACCCAGTGTTTCTTACAAGGTCCTTTGTAACCGAGTAGAAAAAAAAAAGTTTATATCTCAGCTCTGACAACTTCTTGGAAGCAATCGCTTTGCAGTCTGTTTTCAAAGGAAATCTCTTCCTGGGGAAACAAGTGCCCAGAACCAAAAAGGCATGAAGGTTCACTCCCACAATCCACCAGGCTTGGAGCCCCCCCCCCCCCCCCCCCCCCCTGCTGGACGCTGTCTCAAATGTGGGAGACGAGGGCATGTGACGTACAGGTCACAACTGTTTGGTTTTGAAGTTGGATCAAATATCAGTGGGATAAAGACTTAAACTGGTTTGAATTTCACCGTCTAGAAATGTACTTGAACCCAACAGTTTATATGGACACAGTTTATGTAGACAGCAATGCTCTCTAACATAATTGTATATCATTACAGAGCAGTATTGTCTGGAAAAGTCAAATGTCTGGCCTCAAGATAAAGTGCAAGTGTTCTTTTTTTTTTTTATTCAACAGCAAGTTGAGATTTATAGTCGTTATGGAGGAAAGCACTGACTACTCTCTGTTGGACCAGGAATTGTAAGATAACTGTGTTAATGATGGCAAGGGAAAGTAGCCCAAGGATTTAGCACTTATCTGGAGTGAAGTCTTATCTCATTACGCTGCTCTTACACAACAGACTAAGTGTGAACCCACCCCGTCCCCATCCCTCCACTGTCTGCCTGAAGACAAATAGTGTCTGTCACCGTACGATGTAGGACAGATCAGTATAAAGGAAAGAGAGGAAGGAGGATGTAAGAACATCCATTGATCAGCTTCCATCGTGCAGTAAAACCCTGTACTGTAATAAAAAAAAAAATTAAAAAAAACGAGATAAGGGCGGTGCTAGCGTACTAGTGTAACCATTGACCTCCTTACTGGAGTCCCAGACTAAACTAACTCTCTGACCTGACTCCTGTGTACATCCCAGTGAACATCTCGTACCGACTGACTGAGGGCTGAGACCTCAAATTCAACAAATTATCCACATGGAGAACTAGTGACGTTCCACATACCAATGAAGAAGTAACAACTATTAATCATAAAGACTATTGCCGTCATAGTATGTAACAATAAAGTTTGGGTTTTTTTCACCAAGAGTCCAAGTACATTCTTACAACTTACTGTTGTGTAGCCATTTACAAAAGTGTGTCAGTACTTACTTGGGTATTGCTAGTGCTAGTGCTCGTGAAAATATATTTACTTAATCACAAGTGAGGGGTTAGCCCAATAAATGCTACAATAGAAGTTGTTGAAAATAATTTTAAACATCAGCCTTAGAAAGTCAAAAAAATGTCACACCCATATAAATAGCTACCAAACTACAATATTAGCATACATGGCTAAACATTAGCTGGGAATAATTAGTATTAAAACAAAGAAGAAAATTAAAAAGAATGCTATAGCTTAGCCACATAGGTGTGAAACTCAGTAAATTATTATGTAAAGGTCAGCTTAGAAGTAATAAAATTCATAGATCTAAAATAAAAGCACAAGTGACATTAGCAACAAGTGGCTAAAACATACTAACACAATGTGATAATATTACCCATGAGAAATATTTAAAAATAAGAAGTGTTGGTACATTAAATGTTTCCCATCCTAGGGACTATGAAAAGAAAATATAAAAAATTATGTTGTCGGTATAATTATTTTTCAAATACTTGTGGAAAAACAGAACAACCCAATAATATAAGTCAACCTTGTGGGCTGTGAAGTGTCTTGTACAATGACTAGATTAGTAAAGTTTTGGGTTTTTCTTAATTACCTGGGATGACACTGTGGTGCTGTGAGTTAACACGGTGGTATTCTAAGTTTCATATTCCTGGCCCATTTTTAACTCAACAGAAACAGTTGGTTACTTTTTCCAGTGGTGCAGCTAAATTGTGGTAAAAATACACATGAATGTGTGGCGGTGAAAGTTTTCTTTATGCAGCTGCGATGAGAAACAGGAGAGTGCCCTTGCCGTTGTGCAGCTAAGAAACAGTTCAAGGACACATTTTTGTCCTGACACTGAGTCTCCCCTCACTCTGAATTCACAGTGGCACTTGGTTACATAAGGACATGGGTGCACATTCCCATACAGTGCACTGACGTACCCTCAGCTGAGGCCCTGCCGCTGGGTTTGACAGTCTGTCATTAGACTTTAAGGTCTGACCACATCAAGTCCGATCATGTCTTTGCCTGCAAGTGTGGTAGAGAGTTAAAGGTGCATGATCTGGTGGAGCTTTCAAAGAGCAGACGGAGAACTGGACCTGCGTCCACAATGTACAAAATCATTCATTTTTTAAACAAAGAGTTAACACAAATCCTGCAGGAAATATCCACATGTATACTTTCCTCGCTCCGCACCTCGCCCAATGCCGGTGTCTCTGCCAGTCCTAGACCAGAGACGCCAGAACTGGGCAATTATGGCAATTTTTGGATGACATCAGACCAGAAAATGAATGATTTCATTTAGATGTCAATTTTTTTCTTGGATCTAAGGAAGGATGCAGAACCTGTAATAGAGCATGTCAAAACAGAGTGGGAGAATTGTTTAGACATTCACATCTGCATTTCAGCTATAAGGTAGTCCAAGCCTGCTGGGGTTGGTTTGTCTGTTAATAATGACCACTGTTGAGTACTGGCACTCTTGGTGCTTAGGGACCACCCAAGCACATCCCTGTGCCTTCAGCTGTTTCGGTGTTGCCAGCAGACAGACACACAGACAGACACACACACACACACAAACCACATCCAAAACTGTTTTGGTGGTGTTTCTGTTTTGGGCTACCTTTAACCAAAATAGCTGGTGGTGCCACTGTTAGACACAATCAAACCAAAATAACCAAATTACTATCCAAAGAACATCCGAATTAGGCACCAAGAAAGGCAGGTTTAACTCATTCCTGACTGGAAAAAAAGTGTACATTTTTTTATCAAATAACACTTAGAAATCATAAAGAATGGAGAGAAAGGGAATATTCAGAGTCTATGGCTGCACATATAGCATTCCCAAAAAGCCTGGAAATGCAGGAAAATCTTGGAAAGGAAATGTAAAATATGTACTATAACTTTTCCACAACCATCAATTACACATTGGCACTGAGAACAGACACTGAGTCATTTGTATAGTACGTCTGCAAAAAGACCTTGTGGTTCTTCCCAAGGCTGCGATTTGATCTCTGCGCTCTCTTCGTTAGCGCTTGAGCTTCGGCTTCATGACAAACAAGTGCATAACCCCTTTTGACTTGAGACTGAAGGGAGGGGATGATTGTGAAAGATCAGTCAGTCATGAAAAAAGAAAGGGAAGCTCAAAAAAAAAGAAAATGAAACTCAGCAGCTCTGTCATTGACTCTCATTCAGCCAGAAATCTCTTCAGTGTTTGTCCCTTCACTTGTGACTGCTCAGTCACGTAGCCATTTCCCCACGTCAAAACACAAACCCGTCAGATCGAACTGTGCTAATTGACGGATTTCCTGCGTTAGCAGGAAAAATTGTGTTAGTGTGTAAATCCGTTCTTACTCTCATTTCCTTCTCAACAGCGCACTAATCCAATTACTGCAGTGTTCACAGGCTGGGACATCTACTGCACCATGCCTAATGTAGCTGCAGCCTCTGCAGAGCTTCCTGTTAGAACAGAGTTCTCTACAGGAAAAAATATAAATCCAAACACATCATGTTTCAGCAGATTTCAATTACTATATGTAAATAAAGCCTGAAATATTTAAAATTTAAATATACATGATAAATAACAAAACAATACTAATGCTTCTTGGTTATTCTTTTAAAAAAAAAAACGTATTTTCACCTACTACATTTAGGTAATAGCATAAAAATCTCCTAAATCTTCTGAATGATCCTCAGCTCACAGACTTGCTGACTATTGCAGCAGGCCATGATCATTTGTTTCCGACTGTGTATTCATATTTTTAAAGCTAAAATGATCCTTCAAAATTAATTCAATCAACTTATTTTACCAAGTTGGAACAAACAGCTATCTTAAGCCAAGTTTTTAAAACATTTCTACAGGTGGATTCACACACTTCTCATATTTGCCTGTAATTCTGTCACAAATATTTTGGCCAGTCAGTGATTATTCTTAGATTATTAGATTTTAAGGGTTCTAGGATTTTCCTGGGCTTTGAGGTCAGATACCTGTGACTAATTATAGTTCCCTGGATATGCATGCAGAGTTATTTCCGCAGACTCTTGTTTGCTTGGTAAATAATAATGGCTTATTTGTTCATTTTGTTGTTTCCTGAGGGAAAACAAACAGTAGATGAAGTTGCAGAACATCTAATAAACTGACAATCGCTGCAGGTTTTGGACAGAATAAATAAGCAGATCAAAATATCACAATGTATTTTTGTTTTTTGTATTTTTTTTTTTTCATTGTTGGATCCATGTAGGAGCAACTAAAAACAGTTAAATACAGAAGAAAATATGAGGGTCTATCTAAACAACTTTCAGCTGTTGCAGTTTGGAGTTAGTGCTGGATTTATTACTACCACATGTGACAACAACAGCCCAAAGGAAACGGGTAATTCTGTCCAAGAACTCCAACAAAAACCCTCCCAGTGGCCTTGGAGGTTACACCAAGGTCGCTCTGGTCAACTTGTTAATGCGTGGGTGATGTCATAAGCAGGAGGTCTCCAATGATGAGATCAGAACGTACATCAATGGCTGTACATGTCAGCAGATGACTGCTCTGGGTGTGTATTCTCTGTGTATTTGTAGAAGCAGTGAGAGGATGACAAGTATATTTGTTTTTGTTTGGGTTCGCCGACAGCACACACTGTTCATTCTTTGCCTATGTGGGAAGCAGAGGCATCAAGAGTCCGAGCCTGGAGGACACGTCTCCACAGAGCGTAGGACGTCTTTTGTCTCTTAATTTGTTCAGACCTCCTGCAACTGTATCACGTGACAACATTGTTTTATGTTTTATATACGCAAGCAGAAGGAAAACATTAGGATAATAAAAAAAATATATGATCTGATTGTTAACAACAGTAAAAGATGTCAACCTCTGAATTCTTAAAAGATATTAAATAATAATCTTTAGTCAGCTTTGCAAGCAAAAGTTGGGAGGAAATTAATTTAACAGCAACTTTTTTTTTTCCTAATTAAACTTGTTAAACAAGGAAT